AACGTTCTTTCTGTTTTCGCCAGTAGTGCCTTGTTGAATTACCAGTGTATTTGACCGTATTTACTGCATCTTTATTATGTTTTTGTATGTAGCTTGTACTGTCACCAAATGTGGATCCACTTGCTTTTATTTGCAGAGATAGCCAGCTTAACAGAGCACCAGATTACTGCAGAAGTCTGGGACTTCTTGTGCTGTGTTATTGCTCAGCTATCTCCTGGCTAGTAAATCTTTCACCCCATTCCTGAATACATCTCAGATACCTGTGAAATGAAGCAATTAGGTAGGGAGTAGGACTGCCTCTACTATGCTAGGGGAAATTAAAGGATTATGAACAACTGAAAAAACAGAAAAAAAATCAACAATAAAACACTTCTCAGAGCTAAGGACCTAGCAAACTGCAGGGTTTACCCTTCTTGGGGCAGGAGATGTCTAGGAGATCCTCTTCGCCTTGTACAGAGTTTTGCAGAGTTTTATGAAGAGAAGGATTTAAGGAAACCAATCAAAGCTGCTGAACTTGTTTTTCTGCATCTGCTCCATCTTAAAATGTGGCAATAAACCAGAAAGCAGAAAAAGAATAATGATCCAAGACATGAAGAAGCCTTTTCACATTCACCAGCTCTGGAAGAGGCTTGCCTTTAGAGGCTTTTCTAGGTCAGACTCTCTGGCACCTTCTCAGAGAGACAAGTATCAAGTGGAGTAGCAATCTGTTCTTAGAAGGGTTTGTGTTGCATTTGAAATCAATTACTTGGGAAGCCAGTTATATGTGGGAAGTTAGGTACCCAGAATATGTATCTTATAACAAAAGAGCTCATTCTCTTTTTATCATTGCACGAGACTACGCTTATCTCCATAAATTCTAAAAATAATTCCTTTTTCAAAAACTGTCCTGTGAATCAGTCAAACACTAGTCAAATCTTAGAAAATTCTCATCTGGAAAGAATTTCTCAGAAAACACATCCTTGTGCATGTGATGGAACAGACCACCAAGGGGCAACATGGGAAGTTAATGTGTTAAGTTAGGAAGTTAAAATTGGGACACTGCAGAAAGTTTTGTCTTTTTTTGACAACTGTGTTATCATCATAGACTTGCTCTTCAGCAAATATTTGCATGATCAGCAACTCATGACATTTCAAAATAAATGTAAATCTTTTTTTTTTTTTCCTCAGCATTAGCACTCATTCAGTGCTTACGTTTAGCTAAATAAACAGTTTATTTAGATAGATAGACAGGCAGACAATTGCTTTCCAGTGCTTTGATCCTACAAGCTACTCAATACCTGTATTTCCTACTGCCATCAACAAAAGTGATATATGCTCAGTATTTATAGGAACAAACACCTGACAAACAAACAGTAGAGACTACGGATTTTCATTAGCAACAGTTGCTTGATTTTAATTTCACTGAATTTTGTTTGATGATGGTAAAAGAGTTGATGAAACAGACTTCTCTAAGGCAATTGTCTTGGTGCTGCATGACATTTTGATTAAGTATCAAGAGTGATACAAAATTAACGTGCCATATACTAGAAGATTAAAATTTAGTGATCTGTCAGGTCTCAAAATACAATTATAAATAGGTAATCATCATCAGACAGGTGTGTTTTCCAAAGAGGCCTGAAGGTATTGATTCTTGGTCTTATGCCACTTAAATTTTTTATCAATGACTTGGAAGAAAATCAAGAACTTAAAGTATCATAGAGAAAGTTTGCAAGAAATGAAGAAGTAGTAATGAATAACACAAGTTTATGCTGCAAAGCCATCTGGACTGCTGATAAACTGTCTTCAAACAAACAACTTATATTTCATCACAGGGAAAYGTAAAGTTACTTTTCAAAGAACAAACAATATTGTTGAAATTGCAGATTGTGGTTTCTGTCTGATGTGGTGGCTAGATGGTGTGATGGACTGGTGAGCTGAATCGGAGCTGTGCCTGTCCATGTCTGAAAGCACTAAAGCATCTCTTAGATGAATAAACAGGAATCTCTTAGGAGGAAAATTAGATTCCTTCTCACTKGGCAGTCTGTGATTACTTGGAAGCTATGAGTACACTGGGTATGTGCATTTAAAACTATTTTTTTTGTCTGAAAAATATTTATCTGACTATCTGCTTGACAAGCTGACTCCATTTTGTAGTACAGGCAATCTAACCCTTTTCAGGGGCATAGTGGCTTTCGCTGAATCACATTCACAAGCTCAACCCATTGCTTTTTGCTAAGTGCTCATTGTCTTCCGATGGCAAGTAGGGAAAGGATATGCAAAGGATCTGGACATCGAGGAATGGGAGTGTACTGACAGAATGGTTGAAACAAAGAGAATTTTCTGTCCTGCATGACTGAAAGTTATAAGAGGATATAATGTCTGGAAGTGATTTCTAAGCAAAGCATGGACTTTTTTCTAGGCATTATACTCTAGTTTGACAAGAATTAATTCAAAGAAGTCATGTAATCTGGATTCTAAAGGAGATCAGAAAAGATCATTACAATGGTCCACTCCATTATTATAATCTGGCTTTATGAGCTTTTTCAAAGTAAACTTAGATTAAATATGTATCAGGAAGATACATATTGTATCTTGTTATTCTTGTGTATCCTTGTTATTCTTGGACTATTGCATGGGCTTGAAGAATATATTTGCTAGACAGTAATGCTGAAATTGTAAAGTAGTCAGAATTAAGCAAGGTTTAAATTAATTATGATTTTTTTTCTATCTAGTACACATGACAACAGAAAAAGACATTAAAGCTTTTTTTTTTTTTTTTAAGAAAGACATTTATTCCTATAAATAAATATGGGAAATAATTAAACAGTTATGTGAATAAAGAATTTGCCTGAAATTCATTAAAAAAAAMCTTTGTTTTTGAAACAGTTTCTCCCTAACTATCAAACTGTGGTCYAATTTCTAGCAGATGCTACTGCAAGACTCATTACAATATTGCTTTTGTGAGGGTGAATGTAATTGCAGTATTCTTTATATTTGTAAGGGCTTGTGAAATAATTCAAGTGACATAGCAACGCTCATTACTTGCAAAGACATTTGTAAAGACTAATGATAATCACTGTATCCAAATATCCAGTTAGAGTAGCCATTTTCAGTGAAAGGCAAATCTTTATAGGTCAGATCTATGCTGCAAAACATCTTTCCATCTACATTGTTTTATGCTCCTAATCCATGCCGCGAAACATTTTTCATCTGTTTAGGTCAATAAAAATGTTTAGTCAATAAAAAAGGAGTAATTCCATTACAAAAGCCTGAAAATTACCAAAAGTATTCTGCGTGGCAAAAATAATGTGTTTATTTTAGCAGCGGGTCTATGATTATAGAACTCCTTCTCAGTTCACTCTTTTCAAGATTTCTCCTATTATTAGATACAGATTTGCACTCTTAACTCTTTTAACCTTTGTTTTCTAACTTTCTTTTTCAAAAAAAAAAAAACATAAAAACAAAACACACATACACACACACTCCCATGCTCAGAGCTATCAAAYTCGGCCACCTCTCTTCAGTCCTCAACCTCTGAGTTTACCTGTTTGCTCCTTCCCCTTTCAAACTCTCCCTTCTTTCCTCTCTTGCCACTCTGCTCTGCACAGTTTAACTCCTTGGCAGCTCACTTATTACAGCCCGTCCTTTATTTTCAAAGACTCTCTAGGCAGTTTCCTTACTTAAGTCATTGCCCTCCAATCCTTGGTCCAAAGTTCCTTGTCACCTTTATCCCTCTGACCTTTSTTCCTACTTCTACTTTCTCATTGCCTAATCAGCTCCACCTCTCCTGCTTCCCCAAGCTCCATCCCTGGTATAACTCTTCCCTGTATTTCCSTGGCCCAGACAATTTTAGTAATAATTTCTTTTATTTGCTCTTCCTAAATCCTCACTCTCAACAGAGCCCTTCTATCATTCTCTCCTTGGGAATTRCATGGCCTGTTTTCTTGGCTTTTTTTTCATGCCTGTCAGTTAAATCCTCCCACACTCCTTTCCAGGCTGCCTTCTCACCGAGGAGAAACCGAATCCCTGAGGAATTAGGCTGACTTTCCATAACAGCTGAAAAGAGACTCTGACAGGGAGAACACTGAAAATGTAGAAAACTTACCAGCACTCCTACCTATCATAAAAATAAACCTGTAGGGGACTGAAGGGGAATGGAGGAGCAAAAGGAGATTCTAGACAATAATGTCAGATCTAATACCTAAGGAAGCAGACTTGGACTGGACATCTCAGGACCTTCTCCTCCCTCTGACACAGACTTCACACAGCTTTGCCCGAGTCCCTTGGGGCTAGATTATCTAAAAGATGCACTGATACTCTGACGCACAGTACATGAATGCCAACCTGTTATGTCCTTGCTGCCTGGAACCTGCAGCTCTGTGTTGGGCAGTCAGGCTCCACAAACAAGACATTAGGAAAAACACACTCAAAAGATGGGGTCTGCTTAAATTTCAGRAATGCAGAGTATTCAAAAATGTAACTTGCCTTTCAAAATGTAAGGCTATATTCTCAATATACCTGCACATCAGTTTTAGTATTGGCAAAATAGGAACTGGTCTTCTCTGTGTTACAAAAGCACGTCACTTAAACTTTCTCAAGATCCTTCTTAGAAACAGTTCTGTGAGTACAAAGCGCATCTATAATTATGAACAAGAAACATACCTTTAAAAGGGACAAAAGAAAAAAAAACAGAAAAAGAGAAGGATCCTATTATGAGTAGCTGTAAATATCAATCCCTTAGACTATTTGCCTCTCTGATGTTTTAGAGAGCCTGTTTACTGCTGTAGTCCTAAGCTGAAAAGCTGTGGCAGATAGCAGATGTACCAATTAATAACCTGTCAAGGYTGATGGATAGAATGAAAAAAAAAATCTCATGTATATCTCCCATGTGCTTTTTTCTCCACATTTAAGGGCACTGGGGGTCACGAGACACACACTGTCTCCCYGGAGAAAGCCGAAACTGTCTCATTAGCGTCTATCTTTCATGACATGGTGACGCCGCCTTTGAGATGCTAACTCACCTGCTCTTCCCCCAGAATCCTGAAGTGATGAAGCTCTTTAATCAAGGAGTCTGGACAGCCAGCTGTTGGGGAGAAACAAAAACAGGCATTTTAGAGCTCCCTGTCAGTGCTGTCTCAGTGTAAGAAACATGGATACAGAAAGGATACAATACACAGATTACATTAGATAAAGAAGATTTGAAAGATTAGCCATGATTCTGCTGGCATAAGGAGGCTGAAAAAACATCTACCAAATAATCCTTCCACATTTCTGAGCACACCTACTAGAAAGGTTATGTTCTGTGTATTCTAGCCRTTTCCCCAAAGGGCTGCAAACCAAAAGCAAGATGAGAATCGCAGCACTGTCTGCCAGATATCGCCAGCCCCTTACTGTAAGCCAACAAGCTTGTTAAAAGAGGATCTCACATCAAAACCTTGGAGCTACCCAAAGCTGAATTCTGATTCACATGCCAGCTTTGGACTCTTTTCTAAGTGTAATGCAGGTTTTCCCTGATTCCCTGAAGGACTTCACAGACTCTGCAGGCCTCACAGATCACTTTACTTTTGGCTGTCACAAACACAATCCATGGCACAAACAAGCAGTTGTCACCCATTGATGTCACACACAGACCAACTGCATAGGCAGGGGAAATATTTGCCAAATTTAGCATTAGATGAAGCTTGATTGTTACAGACATTCACTTCTTTACAGGCCAATAAGAAAAAATATGTCTCTCGATGTCATACAGTTTACTGACCTGTGAGGCTGTGATGAAATCATAGTTAGTAGCAATGAAATGAAGTATTACTCACTTCTGTAGACTAYTACACTGTAGACTACTATTTCTGGCAAGAAATAAAAATGCAGACCTGTGAAAGCAGTTGGGGCTTTATTTTTCTTGCCATATATTAAGAATATACACACAGATGTGTGTACACACAGATGTGTGTATACCAAAAAAGGTGTAGAGTACTCCTTCCATAAAAGGAATCAAAAACATAGCTTTCCCCAGAACGTGGGAGGAAGTAAGATTTTTATCAGCCTGCTTTTCTGATGACAGACTTATGAAGTTCTTTTTCACCCTTACGGTATGCTATCAAAAGCATGAAATTAATTTGGAGACGGTTGTCAGGATATCTCCATCAGCAGTGTGACTTAAAGACAAAATCAGGCATGTCTTAAACTCACAACTTATGTTGGTGAGGTTGTATTTGGGATACAAAAGAAAAACAACCTCCTATCTGTAAACTGAAAAATTGAAAAGTCTGTATAGACACAGACACAGTTATATTAGTTTGATTCTAATGGTATGGCTTTACTTATGGAATGGATTTAAATGTTATCTAAAACAACATGATGCTGGTAAATTCTCTATTGCCATTCAAAACGTAGTAAGCTCCATCAGCATAACTCCATCAGTGAACACTTTAAAGGCRCCAAGGATTAAGCATAGAGTAAGAAACATTTATTAGTAGCTTATTTCTTGCTAATACTACTGTTTCTTCCCATTTAATAAATGGGATCTCCTGATAGCCTTCTCCCTGTCCATCTCTTCTTTCCCTCACACACGAGAATATTTATGCATTTGAATGCGAGTTTTATCTCTGTGGGTGATTCATTTCTCATGACTTTACCTTCTTACCTTCTAGGACCATTCTGCATCACCTTATTTCTTCCCTCCTCACTTGCCTCCMTGCTCAAGCTCTCACTGTTTTATTCAAATTCTTCTCAGTGTACCTAAAGTCATCATTACTACCTTCACCACCACTTCTATGCAGCATTTTTTCAGTCTATTTTCACTGGCTTTTATATGTCCATCCTTCAGCTCATTGAAACTCTCAATGTATCTGCTGCTCTGCCTCACTAACTTCTTGGACTGATCCCAGAGCTGTGAACTTCTCTGTGCTTCAGATCAGAACAGACCATAAAACACAGATCCTGTTCCTTATCCTCAAGACCTTACATAACTATTGATTTTATTTCCTTTATGCAATTTTCACTGAAAAAGATATGCATTGATTGTACTGTTCCCTCCCTCTGCTTTTTCTAATCTTTACAGTTTCTTCCTCCACCACCCATTTTTCCTTCCTCTTATTTCATTCACTACATCCTAAATATCATATGCAAGTGTTCACTTGTTTGGTTGCTTGGATAGCAAGAACTCTTTCTCTTTTTGTTCCCTTTGAAATCCTATTTCCCTAATGCCTATTTTTCCCAGAAATCCACCCGATTTTGCTCTCCCCTTATATAATTTATATGATCTCCCAAATGTGAACTGTTCACATATATCCTCTTTATCTCTCATATAAGAGACTATAGACACCCTGGAATCAATGATGCTTTCTTTTTTAAAAGTTAAAAGTATGACGTAATCTATGTACATTTATTATTAGTGTTACTACATCTGGCACTATCTCCAACAGAATATTTTCCGCAGCATGTTTTCCAGAGAGTTGCCTAATCCAGTTTTCAATCTTTTAAGTCTCTAGTCTTTCTCTGGAACTTGAAAACTGATTAAGTAACAGAATCTGAAATCACTAAGAAAACAAGGAAGAGATGTAGCATAAGTCCTTTCGGTCCCTACAGTTCTTCACATTGCAGAAGCAAATTGATTAAAAAATATATTTTAGGAAAAATGTAGGAATAATGAGGAAACATGATACAAAATAAAGTAATATCAAAACATCTTTCTCTCTGCATATTTTTGGATGTATTTATCATACTTCCTATGCCTAATTTCTTCTGCTCTGTATGCAGACCTTTGTCAAACGCATTCCAACACTGTGACCTATTTTCACCAGCTATCTGGTGGCTCTCAAAAAGCCTTGGGTGATGTCAAATTCTGGCACTGTGACTTGAGACAAAGGTTGTAGACAAGTAGTCATTCTGTAAGCAAAAAGAAATGAGACCAAAAATACCTATTTAGCTGAAAAGCACTACGAATGTTTCACCGCCTCACTCACACAAACACGCATATATTTGCCAACATATATGTATATATGCAAGCAATCACAGAAATTTGAAAACTATTATAACTTAAGCACAGTACTCGCTGGGTTCACAGATAAACTTTGTGCATCAAAGCATAAAAGAAAAAAAATGGATTTAACTTTCTGATGCACAACTTGCACTTGCCACACAAAAGAAATACTCTGCACTTCACAGATTTTTGCTGCTTTGTGTAGGATGCTTCGAGGATTAGTTATTATGTTCTCTATAGTAGTACAGAGCCCTTATATTCCATAGGCCCAATAATTAACAAAAGTTTTCATTTTCCCCTTCCTACTCAATGATCACTCAGAAATATACAGGTTTTTATGAAATTTCCACACATATACACCAAAGCATAGTAATATTTAAATAAATAAATCAATAAAAATTAAGCACTACAGTAATAAAAGGCAGTAATGCAAAAGCCTGAACAATTGCCTTTAATCAGAAGCCAAAACTCTGGGTGGAAGACATCTGCAGACTGATAAAAGGACAGCTAAAGCATTTATTAGTTCCCTCTTTCAGACGAAATTCAAACCTAAGTGTTTCATATGTTCTTGGCTACAGTGACTGTTACAGGTTTTTGCCTGCTGCTTAGGCAGAATGAGAAGTAATGAGTATGAAGTCGGGGCAGATCTTTAGTTCTTTTATACCACTTTTCCTCTGATGTAACTCTATTGACCTCAAAGAAATAACATCTATAAAACTAGGGAGGTGGCATAAGAAAGAGGCCCRAAAGTCTCAGTAGGAAGCTAATGTAAGAACGAGTAATACCAAGTGCACAGCATCAGGAGCCTTAAAATCTCACTGCGAATAAGAGTTTTGTTTCCATTTAAAATYTTCTATCACATCCCAGATTATTAGTTCTAGTAATTTTCTTGGTTGCTTCATTCCCACTTCACATTATTAATTTAATCCACATGCTAAAATAGGAAAGCTACACTTTGTGTATGTATACAAGTGTACATTTAAAATTACAGAAATTTGCAACTGCTAGTACTTCTCTCTCTTCATAAAGATATTTTCAATTTGTTCACATAAGGAGACACAACTCCAAAGGCAAAGAAAAAAGCAAAATTTAAGACGGTCAGATGAAGAAGTAATGTCTTCTAACATCATAAATCCTCTGAGCTGAACTTCTCTGTACATACATTTTCAGTTACACTTATAATTAARCTATGATTCCAACCACTACCAATTTAATTACACAAATTGTCTATACTTTTTCTCAGACAGAATTAGCTTCTGTTTTTGTTTTTACTTGAAATTAATTATTTGTATGACTTATGTTCTCCAGTGAATAGCCAAAGCAAAAATTAAATCAACTCTTTAATATTGCATAAAATGGAAAAAACACAGTTGAAAAGCTTGAATACAAACAACTGAGAGGCAATGCAAGTGTCAGGGTGCTGGAGATGGATGCAGTATAAGAATGTTGCTTCCCAAATTCTGCACCAAATGGAAATCCATGTTGGTCATAAATATAGTTTTTACTGTGGGGGCTGAATTCTCTCCTCAGATATAATATCTTCAAAAGCACCTTACAGTTACAAGCATTTCTACCTATACTGTTAGATTGAGTATTATAGTTTATTTTCTAGCAAAGATATGTAGCAGTTTTTCATGCCTTGCCTTCTACCTTTCCCCCAAAAGTATATATGGGTGAGATTCACTTCACTGAACCTCAGCATCTAAAAAATAGTTATCTAGAACTAATACAGTGCTCTCATGTTTCCTTTATAGTCAATGGAGGGGAACACGCACCCTCATAGCGTAATGCTTCTTGTTTGCAATAGGTCCTTTTATTGGGTCTATTTCTCTCCATTAACTACAGAGTCTAAGGTGACTAGAGAAGATATACACAACTAACTTTTAAAGCCAGATGAAATCAATTTCACCCAGCACTTGCAATCCAACAAGTCATTTATGCATATGCTTCGCTTATATGCTTAAAGTGTTCCTCTCATGTTTAGCTTCTTGCAAACGGAGCACTTACATTACGGACACGGCATAAATTCCACTTCTACGTGCTTATAATTTATGTCTGCATCAACCCTTGCTAATCCTGAAAAGTACATACCCTTTAGTGAG